CAACTCTGGGGCATGACACTGCTTTGCGATTGCCCCCTTGAAGTTCCATGTGAAGCTGACGTGTTGGCCGGCCTCCTCTTCGAGTGCCGTCAGGGCGAGCCTGGGGCCCACCATTGCAAAGCATCGTCTATTTGGTGGCCGGAGCGAATTGCGCCTAGAACGGCATTCCTGAGTGGATCCCAGATTGGGCAGGAGGAGGCGATAATTCTCCGCTTTCGCAAACTATTTCCGGCCGACTGGTTTCGGGGATTTCGCTTTCCTATGATCGAGGATCTCATCAACCAATTAAGCCCCGTTCGACTCTTTCGGCCGCTGGCTGGTCGCGCGGGGGGACGAGTGGGATGGACCCCTCGTGCCCATCGCGGCCGAAAAGCAGCAGCGCTTCCGGCAACGCACTGCCGATGGACAACAGATTGGAGCCTCCAGCCATCGGGCGGCAATCCCTCCATTGCTGCCCTTTGGCCTCACAGTGGATGAGCACTTCGAGCAGTCGTTGCATGTGGGCACGCAGCCACTACCTACGGAGTTGCACCCGGTATTGGATGCCGACCTCATCTTCGCGGCAGACACGCATGCCAAGCACAGGGGGTCCTGAGGGCTATGCGCCAGCAAGCCGTGGGTGCACTCAAAGAGCTCAAACGGAGGTGGGAGTCGGTCGGAGCACGGATGCGAACCCTGCAGCCGAAGGCGTTGCAAAGTGCCACGCGTCATCGGGATCTGGGTCTTACTGCCTTGCTCATCATCTTGACCAGCTGGGGCGACGTGACCTATCCGTTCGGGCTAATCGAGGGACTTTCGGCGGTCGGCTTTGCCCCGGCATACGGTGTCTTTCCCTCCCAGCAAGCCGACTTCATATCCCTCGAAGACGTGCTTGGCGACTGGCAGGCGCACAGCTCAGAGACAATCCGGCGTCTCAAGGCTGCTGGAACAGTCGCGAGCGGACGCAGACCAAGGGTTTTGCACCCCGCCCCTCTCTCTCTGGAGGTGCGTGATTACGCAGGGCTCGGGCAAGCGCCGCATCATCGATAACGCGGCCGAAGGAGGCCAGTCGGCCGCTTCGTCTGATGCCAACAAGTTGGTCCTCTGTTCCCCCCTCCGTCCTGCCCAGCATCTCAGAGCTACTGTTTATAGCCTCATGTCCGAGGAGGAGCTTGGGCGCGCCAGGGACGAGGACGCCTGGGAAACAGGCGGCGAGGATTGGCCTAATGCCTATCGACACTCGCTAATGTCATCAGCGGAGGCTCGGGCCTGCGTACTTGTATACGGGATTTTATTCGGCCTTCCGTTGGCCGTAACCTCGTTCAATCGCTACTCGAGGCTCGTCGTGTGTCCCTCTATTTTGGCGATGCAAATTTGGGGGACTGGGCTTCTTCTCGTGGTTCGGGCCAGTGGGCCTTCGGGCAGCTTAACGGCATGCTGGGCACACCGTTCGCTGAGTCTAAGCGTCAGCCCATGTCATGCCGGGGGGACTTCCTTGGTCTCTCGCACGACATGTCCAAAGCCCTGTCCGACGGTCGGTTTTGGCCGCGCGACCGGATCGTGAAGAAAGTCGAGGACATGCTCCTCCGAGGCCGAATCCAGTTCATGTCTTCACCCAGGGCAGGCTTCCAAGCTATATGGAATCCTGAACTTTTTCGAACAAGGCGTCTATGGCAAGGTCGGAGCTGGTAGCCTCTGGGCCATCAAGGAGCGGCAGTATGAGACCTTCACGCAAGTCACCCCGGACTTGCTGGACAACTTCAGGTATGTACGGGCCATCATTCGCGCCAGGCCCGAACGTCAGTTGCCGGTCTTTTCCCTCCCTTGCGACCGTTTCGTGTGCGCCTCGGACGCGGCTGAGGAGCCTGCTACCGGCGGTACCGGTGGCTTCCTCATCGTCTGGTTCGATGGCTCTTGCCAAACTCGACAAGGCTTCGTTGCTGATGTCCATCCGTGGTGGTACTCGGTTTGGCAGCTTGCAGAGGTCCATATTGCACAGCTGGAGATCTCCATGGTCGCATATGCATTGCTTGGCTGCCCAGACCGCTTCAGGAATCGCAAGGGCATTTGGTTTTTTGACAACATCGCGTCCTTGATGGCCTTAGTGAAAGGCCGGTCCTCTTCCAAGGACCTCGAAGCCTTCGCACACATGTTGCATATTCTCTTGCTCGGTCTCAGCCACGGTCCGCTTTGCTCACATTGGCAAGCTTCCTTTAATGCTTTGGGACTCAGTGCCTTGGGTGCTCAAGTCCGAGAACCGGGCTTCGGCCAACTGAGTGTCAGTTGTGCCAGGGTTACAGTCTATCCGGAGGAACCGGATAGAATCCCAAAGCATATCCTCGTGCAGAGGTTGTGTGATACAAAGCGAGCGAGTTCGGGGCGGTGCAAAAGATCGAAGCCGCATAACTCAAAGCATGCTTTGCAATGTAAAACTGCTTTGTGTTTGGTAGGCATGGGTGAGCAGTCTTCATTGCAAGCTGATCTTGAACCCACACATGTGCCATTGCGGCTCAAGTTCTTGATCCAAAAAGGCTTAGAGTTTTTCTTTCCCACCCTCCCACCCTGAAGTACGGGCTCCCGTGGAGTTACCCTACTTCTTGAAGGCCCCGTAGGGGCTGGGGACGCGCATTGTTATGCGATCGTAACCCTCATCCAAGATGGATGGGTGCTCAAGCCCGAGAACCGGGCTTCGGCCAACTGGGTGTCAGTTGTGCCAGGGTTGCAGTCTATCCGGAGGAACCGGATAGAATCCCAAAGCATATCCTCGTGCAGAGGTTGTGTGATACAAAGCGAGCGAGTTCGGAGCGGTGCAAAAGATCGAAGCCGCATAGCTCTAAGCATGCTTTGCAATGTGGCGATGTTCGATACAATGCGGTGCAGTTGTTTGGTGTATGCCGAGTAGGTCTAGGTGTTCTGCTGTTGGCCTTCCGATAGCACCTGTGGCTGCTGCCCGGCGATGAAGTGCCACTCGAGCAGAGTTCAGCACCGACAGCAGGGGTGTTACCCATTTGGGTTGGGGGTGCGGGTTACCCAGTGCGCGAATCCACGCGGGGAAGCGACCCCACTGGCCGTGCTGGCAGTGAGAGCGAGTCAGAACGGGGGCCTTGACCTGCACCTAGGATGGGCGGGACAAAGGCCTACGGTCGCTGGACGACCCCGATGCCCTACGCCCAACAGAAAGAAAGATTTGTAAGCACTTTTCAAAAAAGACAGGGGATTCAGGTCTTGTGGATTGGTGGTTGTGATAAGCCGGGTATTGTTTCGGCAATATGTCTCCACCACCTAGACCCATTTCAGCGCTATTGCATTCTTTGATTGATGGTTTTGCCGCAATCGGGGAACCATAGAGTTTCTATACGCAGAAAACAGTTTGCAATTGCACTTCTAAGTAGCAAACAGTCGCAGAAAACTCTTTAGACAACTTCCCCGGCATTGGGCCGTTCTCAATGTGGCTGTGTACCGTTTGCGCCAGTTATGTCTACCTGGCAAGCAGCGGCCAGCCAGATCGAGCCAATTCGCCGCAGCGCACTATTGCGATCCCCAACAAAGGGGATGTGACGAGCCTGTGTTTTATCCTTTGTTGGCCTCAACACTCCTAGCACGGGGGCCCCCTGTTGCGGTGGGGTTCTGTGACAGGACCCTCACGTCCTTTCACTTCGCGAGAGAGAGACACTGACGTTGACTTTTCCTTCGGAAAGAAAGAAGGGGCGAGCGAGAGTGTGCAAGCGTGGCGCATTGGAGTGCTGTTGAGTGTGCAGTAAGGCTCGACGGCTGTGAAGACGATCCCAGCCAGCAGGCCAACTCTCGCAACTTAGTCCCGACCTACTGAGACCGTCAAGGTTCAATTCTTCTTGCACTAGTAGACATTCTGGGCAGGTCGTCACAACACTCCAGCTTGGGTTGCTTAAATAGTTTCAAGATTTTCAAGCCCATCATCATGGACGGCGTAGTAGCTTAATGACTTCAGAAGCACCGGAGGCGCAGGGGAGACGGCTGATGGGCGTCGGCGCTGAGCAGAACCGTGTGGTGGTGCCTGTAGACATCGCCACAGTGCCTCGATTGGTTTGGTGCCAAGCCTTGCGTCGGCTTTCTCTAGATCCCTGAATGTTTACGCGTGTTTCCGTACATTTGGCATGCATGCTGCATGCTACCGAGGCCAACTGAACCTGCGACGGCAGTGCAGGTGACCGGGTGAGCACGGCCTGCTTGGGGCAGAGTCCTCCAAATGCATAGATGCACCGACGTCGTGGTTCAAGGCCATCAGGTAGCGTCAGAGCATGCACGAAAAGCGCCGCCCAGAAGCGCATGGTTTTTCCAACATGCAAGCTTTGATGCCGCGCAGCGGCCTAATTTTTAAAGCTTTTCTGTCTCGTGAATCCATGTCCAAGAAGCCCCTGAAGACTTCGTAAAGGTCATGTCCTAGGCGCGAAGCACGGAAGGCAAACGGGTCGTGTGTTTGCTTCAATATGACACACCAGGGAAGAGCATTTTCCCACGAAGCAGCACACACAGGCTGCTTCCACACAGATTCGACTGAACGTATACCAGGTCTACGCCAATGGGCGTGCATCTGTCTTAAGTCTCCGTCGCCAGCGGAAACGCGGCAGGCGCCAGGAGCAATAGCAAAAGCTTGTGTACAGCACATGCCGTCAAAGGTCACACGGTATGCGAACAGGGTAGGGTTCAAAACCAGTCGTGCAGCTTGGGCTGTAGACACCCTTGCTTTACTCTGTTCTGACATTCCTGAGTGGCCTGCGAAGCCAGACCGAGCCCTATATTTACTTGGAACTTAGCACAGCCCTGCTCGTGTAACCCGACGCATGTAGCATCATTTCCAAGAGGTTCGAGCCTGCAAAGGGCTCGCAAGCGGCACATGCGCCGGAAAATTTGGAGAATGAGCAAGGGCCTCGTATAGGCAGTCTTGTTAGAGCCGCGACCCTGTGACCTCCGAACTCTCAGACTGAAGCATTTTCGATTCTCGAGCTCCCATCGCAACTTGTCCTGGGGTTTTATCTGCCGCCATGAGCCGCGTTTGCATCGTGCTGAGTCTTTTGATGGCCATGGCCTATGGAAACCTACGGGGCAGTGAGCCGGAACCGTGTGTCGATCAGGGCAGCTCCTGCAGTCCAACGTCGAATCGTTGTTGCCAGGGGCCAGGGTTGATGACCTGCCGCCTGCGCCCAAGCCGCGTGGCAGGGGACGAAGGCATGGCCTACCAATGTGGAGAGGAATTCCCGGAACAGAAGCTGCCAGATCCCAGCTGCACGCCAGAAGGTCGGACAACAGGGTTTCATTGCTTCGGTTTGTTTCGCTGTTGACTGGGGCCTAGAAGACAAACCGAGAAGTCAAACACTGACAGGTCAGGAGTGCACTTCCGACTTCAGCTGCTGCCAAGTGGACCGCAGCAGTTTGCATATGACCTGCCAGCTTGAGTACGGGCCGAAGAAGCGCCGGGTCTGCAAGGGCAAGATGGAGAACCTGGGTGCAGAAACGGCTTGCGTTGCGGAGGCCTCTGAGAAAGCCCATAACTGAACCCCTCCGAGCCTCCAGTCTCAGATTCTCGCAAGTCTAAGATGTCTAGGTCGGTGCTGCCTGTTCTAGGGTCGCTTCCGCAGGGAAGCAGCTGCAACCCTTTGGAGAACAGCTGCTGCCAGGATCAAGATGGCTGGGGCCTTGGCTGGGGCTAGGACGTCCGTGTATGCGCAGCGAAGACTTCAGGCAAAAACATGGGCGTTGCTTCGAGCTGAGGCGCAAAAGCTCTGCGAACCTGTCAGCTCAAGTTCCTCGAGCAACCTGGAGACCACAGCATGGCATACCTCTGTGCCAAGGAAGCATAGACACTAGTCACCGATTCTAGATGGAGCCTGGAGCCCGCGATGGCTTTTGTCCGTGTTTCGAAATGTAAGGGGCATCTGGGACTCTGTAGGACAGGCATCGCGGGCAGAGGCATCGCATTCGGTGCAGGGCTTGAGCACAAGATCAAAGCCGCACGTTGGCATCTTGTGTGGAGGGGATGGTCGGGTGTCCCAAGATCGTCTGAAGTGTAGTGTGGGACTTGATAGACGCAGGAGCATGCATGAGAGTTGTGGAAGGCAAAGGGCCATCAAGCATCCCCCTGGCAGAGTCCGAGGGCTCGGCAACTGCTGTTTTTGCCCGGATCCTGCAAATAGTTGCATCACTTTTGGGAATTCAGATGTCGTTTGCATCTAGAGGCAACACCATGTTAGCCTCGGCAAGTTAGAGAGGCACGACACGCCGCGGTTGAGCCTTTCATGAGTGGGGCACGAGACCTCACAAGTTTTGCCTAATACGTATGCCAGGCCTGCCCTGTTCTCTGTGAAAAGGCCTTAAGCCACCGCACGATCAGTGCATAAAGCACACTCCAAACTGATGTGCGGTGTAAACCTTATGCATGGCGTCGGCGAAGACCCCGCCCCAGGGCAAGTCTGGCTTGAATCGTAAAGCGGCAGCGTCCAGACTCATTTTAACAAGCGCAGTTTTCGACACCTCAGTCCATCCCTGCTTAACTTTGCACAGAGCTTTCTGCATGACACGTGGCCCTTGCCAAGCACAGGAGGTGTTGGGAGCATGCTCTTGAAACTTGAGTGGCTCATGCCTCGGAGGCGTAGGCCCTCCATGAGCGCTTCCGAGAGCAAAGAATGGCTATGTCCTCCCTGTAGCGTGGGATGCACGGGACACGGGGATGCATTCGCAATGTGTGCGATGCGTTTGGGCCGTGACAGACGCAGGATTGGCAACGCCGCCCCACCTTATACCGGACCCCGTCAAACTTCAACCGAACAGTCTGGAAACGATGCCAAGATCCGGCCTCGGCGGGTTGAACCGCGAGAGCAAGAGTGGCCTAACCTGCCGGGGCGATCTCAACAATGGGCCAAAAACTCGAAAACAAAGGCCCGATCCGATGGGTGGTCAGGTGGACTTGGAGTGGAGGTAGGGAAACACCATGACATGGTCCCATAGAGCCAGATCAAGACGCCCCAGGCCTCCGGCCTCGAAGGATTCTGCAAACAACGCCAAGCACAGGAGGTGGTAGATGGTGGTAGTCACAGCTTTCTGCATGACTTGTGGACAGGAGGTGTTACGTGTGGCTCATGCCCAGCGAAGGCGCTTAAGCCATGAGAGCTAGCAAACGGTGGGCCAGCTGAATCGGCGCCGCTGGAGCACTTGCAAGGGTTCTGGATGACTTTGATTCGATCTGCATGCCAGGCGACGCTAGGCTGTCGGCACACATGAACAAGTCTATAGAGCATCACAGGGCGGCATGGCCACCGCTTAATGCCACCTGTTTACAGTGCTGTTTCGCCTATGGAAGTCGACCTCCCCGTGTGCGGCAGCCATGACTTGCTGTGCCATCTTTATCGGTGTGCTGGCGGTGTTGACTGGATCCCTTCTGGCCCTGATGCAGCGCCGGGGGCTGCTCGCGGCCGGGGAGGCGACTAGAATGACTAGAATCTGACCCCACGCGACAACCCTGCATGGCATGGGCGTGCATCTTGCTCTGGAGGCGGCACCCGACCTGGGCATTCCCACCGCGAGCATGCCACCTGGTTCAAGAGCAAAGCCGGTGACATGTGAGCTGTTGTGAGCTCATGTGGCCTGTCTAACGCAGGACCCACGAGTTTCGGCCCGGGCTTGTGGAGTCCGTAATTGCCTTGGACACCCCGCCTGGAAACCTCGCAGTGTCAGCTTCAGGCAAGAACAAAAAGGTTGGCTTGAACAAATCTGATGTCGGCCATCCAGTGTTCTCTGTGCAGGCCGCATCATCTTCAATTTCCACCCTGTGCACACGCAGCCCTCCGGCTACAAGTTCGCCGAGGTGGTGGGTGACTCCTGGATTCCCAGGTGCGCGGAGGGTGGAGGGACCCCTCCCTGGCTTACCAATGTTTCCGACAGGCTGGACCTGGACCGAGCCACACAAGAGGTGCTCTCACTGCGCATCGGCTCTTCTGGAAGGCTCTTTTTGTTGGACCACGCAGGCTGGGGCCTTGCCGGGGGCTGACCCTCCACACTTGACATCACGTGGTCTTTGCAGGTCACGGCCTGTTGCATACTCCAAAGCTGGTGGTTTTCCAAATGGGGACAAGCGCAAGCGAGGATCACTTCCAGCTGGCTTACCCCTTTCCCAGCGAGATCGCTGGATTCGGTTCCATGCTGAATGATTTCAACTTATCACCAGACGCAGCTCGCGCACGGACAAGTGCACAATGCGCTGCTTATGTAGGTTGATGGGCCTAAGCACGATGACCTCAAGCTTACGCTTCATGTATAACTCCCCTTTCAACATGCAGCCAAGGAATCGATGCTGTACATTGCCGACACATCCATCATAGGTGGCGCCCCTGCCCTCATAGCTTGCTCAGTCCCGCTGATGGAGCAGCAGTCCAAGGAACCTAGCGACCGCATCAGGGTGACCGGGCAGTGTCGGTGTGCCCAATCCAGGAGGCCTGCCGGCGCTATCTTGATGGGCACCATTCTGTGATACCTCAACAGTTGGCACCTCGAACTGGATGTGTCAAGCCGGGTCAGCGTGGCTGTGCAGAGATGAAGCTTGTAGCGAGGGTTTCGCTCCGAGCACGTTCAAGAAGGGTTTAGGGCGTTTCTTGCCAGCCGCCCCCGCCCTGCACTCAGAGCATCAACGTGAACGGCGACTCCGCTCTGTGGCCAGCTCTATCACGCATCGGAGTCGATAGCATCGCCCTCGACCGGAAGGGAGAGAGCCTCGGCTGTGCAATCTTGGAGGGGCTTCTAGACTTCAACGGGTGGGCCGGGGGCAGATAAGAGCATTGACCCAGGTGGCTCTACTTCGGTCCTCTGACATCTGCGTCGCTCTTCCGCATCCCGGCCACACTTCTGAGTGCCAACTCCTCCAACGCCGAGGTCGCTGCCGCAACGGGCACGCATGTAGAGCTGCTCTTTGTGCCTGATCCTGTGTGCCGGCACTCGGAACACAATTGAGGCAGTGGAGTGGTATGCAGAGAAGCCCATCTCTGACGGGATCGGCACGGATGATGCAGGCTGTTTTTCGATTGACTGCAAGCCCCGTCTTCGATTTGAGCGCTGAAGGTAACGTTCTGTTGACGGCCTTCGAGCACAGTGCTGTTGTAGCCATCACGCCAGCCAGGTCCCTCAAGGCTGGGTGGTAAAGTAGTAAGGCAGGGTGCTGTCTGCATCGCCGAGACGTATGCAGGTTGTGTACCGAAGCCAGCAGCATCTGCTGCGATCTGAGACCGGAATTCTGTAGCGATGAGAGCATTGATCAACATCCCAGGCAGCCGCCAAATCAGAAAAGTATGATTTCCGGGAGCATAATATGTCGCCAGTATTTGAAACAGGAGGTCCTTTATACGGACAATCAACCTCAGGGAAGCTGGAATTCCCTTGGCGTTTCCCACATGGTAGTTGTATACTGCGCGCACGTGCCACCTCCTCCTCTGTCCACTCACTATGCCTGTTGCCCATCCGTAGCCTGTCGCGGGTTGATTGCCATCGAACCGCCAAAGGCCCCACTTGACAAAAGAGGGACTTGGTACACGAAGTGTGGCAAGGTCAGCTTACGACTCTCTGAAACCACGAACATGAGTCAGGCCGGCCAGGGATATCCGATGCGCAATTTTGGCCGGCCGACAGTTCAACCGTGACAACAGTACTGCCGTATTGCCATTCCGAATAAATTGTAATAAATTGTACATACAAGGCAAGCCGAGATTATACCACTTTGCATGCAGCCTCAGCCTCGCGTGTGATGGTCTCTCGCAATCCACTTCGACTTCGCTCAGCATCACCACAGCGTCACAGCATTGCTTGTCGTGTGTGCTCCGCCAGAGGCAGTGGCCAGATGGGTTATCCTTTGGTCCCGAACCTTGGGCAGAATTACTCCAAAGACATGCTGTGACTGACTTCTTCATTCACAGACGTTGGTTCCTGCTTCATGTGGCAGTTGAGAATTCAGAGTTGCAGCTGACGGGCATTGCTGAGGATAGCTGGCTCTACGTCACCTCCAGTGCTATACACCACACGATGCGAGGCTGCGCAGGGAACAAGGTTTTGAGGAGATTCGCGCTGAACCTTGGGATGACTGTCGTCCCGGAGGCAGGAACGTTGCCAAGCACGGCCCTTTCCACATCTTGCGCCTGAAGATGACCACTGGTGCGGCACCAGGTCAGTAGCGGCGTCAGGACCAACGGCTTGCCTGAGAATGACTCGGAAGCTGATGTTGAAGAAACATCTTTTAAACTTTTAGAAAAAGTGCCGACTTCAGAATTGAAAGTCGGTGTTCTCCTCGCCAGACCTCGCCCAGACACAGCATACCTTCCACCGCCCAAATCACTCACTGCGAGTCTGGATGCATGCTGTTGCGGCATCTCGGCTTCAGAGAACGATCAGCCTCTTCTAGCCGCTAGATGTGTTTCTTGCAGGACGCCCTTTTGACGGCAACGTGCTTCGCTTCGAGCGCTGCGTGAAGCAGCTCTGGGCACCCAAGCACTGGGGTGCTGTGAAGCAGGCCCGTGCGATGCCGCAGAGTCGTGCAAGCGGGTGTCAGTGACCGCTAGATCTTGCAATGTACGATAAAGCGTGTGTTGGTAACCACGTATACCATGTATGATAGTTACGTTGCCACCTTGGCTATTTGGCTGAGCTCCACAAGGTAGCCGTGGCCATCCTTGATGGTTCCTGCCCTGATCTCTGGTTAGGGCAGGGCATGAGACTGCCGCATTTATTCGCCAACACTGGTTTTGGTGGATCCGTGCTTTCATTGGTCCTGCTACGATTTGCAGCTGGTGGGCTGGAACAGTCATCAGCATGCACAGATTCACATGCCCTTATCAGCATGTAGACACATCAGTAGGGAATCTACTTCCTGCCTTCTGTATTTGCTTGCATTCATGTGTCGTGTGCTTGACGTGCATGGGGAGGTGCAGATTTAGCGTTGCATGAGCTCTTGAAGTATCGGGTGGCAGCCAAAGACAATGCCGCCTGGCAGCAAGAGAAGCAGGAAAATTCCAACAGTGCTGAAATCAAGCGCAGAAGGCGTGCTCCGGCGCACTCCGGTGCACGTCGGAGAGACTGAGGTCAGCATGCTCCTCTCACAGCCGACGATTTCGGCGAAGGAGTGCAAGAAGAGAGCAGACAGAGACCTGAAGAAGCTCTTGAAGGCGGCGTCCGGAGCTCCCATCCCCATCGAATGTGAGGAACATCTGAAAGACTACTACTGCCAGCTGATTTTGGAATCACAATCCTTCAACACGTGTGCGAACCTCTCGGACGAGCAAGGCTTGCAGTACTTTGAGTGCATTGCGCGACCCATTCAAGGACAAAAGCCTGCACGAACAGCCTTTGCTTCTGATTGCCGTGTGGACAGCATGGCCGCTTCCGGCAAAGGTACGAAGGCTTCAAAGAAGATTTCCTGGAGGTTAGAAGTGCCTGGCAAGCTGCGAATCGCCTTTCTCATCGTCGCCCACCGGGCCGTGAACAATGTGCAGGGCTTGTTGCAACGCATTTATGACTCGAGCCATGTCTACCTGGTCCACATAGATCTCAAAACTCCGGGCATCAAGACCCAACTGGACCGCTTCCTGGCAGGCTCTCAACTCGCAGGAAGCGTGCATACCTTTTCAGAAATTGACGTGACAAAGGGCAGCAGCGATCTGCTACGGATCAGCATTCTGGGCCTAAGGCGGCTCCTAAAGCTGCGACCCGCCAAAGGTGAAGAGTTGCCTTGGGATTACTTCGTAAAACTAAGTGAGTTTGATTATCCTGTGGCCCCACGCCATTCCTTGCAGCAATACCTATGGTTGCACAAGGGCCTGAACTTTGTGGGCTTGGATGCTTGCTCCGCATCCACCTGTGCGCGGCATTTAGGCACTGCATGCGCCGGAGCTACATACAGTTTCGTCTCGACACTCAGGATGCACAAGCCCCTTTCCTTTGGTATGCATTTTGCTCGCGGGAGCGAGTGGGTGGCTCTGACCTTCGACTTTGCCAAGTATTTGGTTCTCGAAATAGACACGCCCTCTGCCATGCAGGAGATTTGGAAGGATTGCCTTCTCTTGTACCAGCCGGACGAGGCTTTTTTCCAGACGGCTATTCTCAACTCTCGGTTCTGCCGGCGTCACGTGAGCATGACACTACACCATATCCCAGTGCTGCTAGAACGGAGAACTCATGGCACGCACGATGAAATAGGCACTCGCAGTCCCAAAGTGTTTTCCCACGAAGACTTGGCTGTTCTCCAGGATGCTCGGCAGCCTCGGTTTTTTGCACGGAAATTTCTCAACGTAACAGGCGAGCCCACATCTGAGCTCTGCCGGCGACTGGACGACTTGAATCAAGAGCGGCAGTTAGACACGGCGAAGCTGTCATGGAAAGGCTTTCTGCCGTGGTTAGAGGATAACTTCACGACATGGGCTCAGCTAGCAGGGCTTGCACCTTGGGGGAACTTCACCTGTCCGGCTCGTGGGATGGGTGAGTCATGCGAGGAAGCGAGCATCCGATTGCTGGGTCGGCTGGGATCTGGCAAGTCAGCTACAGCACCCGCTCGGGCCGGCAGGTGGTCACCAGAGACCTGGCTGCTGCAAATTCGCGGATCGGACTTGACAGTTCTGCTTTCAGAGAGGTTTGCAGTGCCGACGCTGGCACCTGATGGCTTCGTCGGCACGGGCATTGGGGTGGCTCTTTTGGCCACCAGGATCGGCACAGGTTGGAGAAGGGAACAAGGCGAGTTTGAGGGTCACGTCGGCATAATTCCGGTCACCAGCCTTTCTGCACGAGACGTCCATCTTGCCATTTACTGGGGTCCCATCGTGCCGGACCCAGACACAGATAGTCAGGCAGTGGTGGACTGGATGACCCCTAATAGCACGAAGTGTGGTCAGACGAAGGTGCAGCTGTCGAAGGAGTCTCACCTGTCCGGGTGCCCCGTTGGTGTGGCCATTCCGCATGACTGCGCCCGCATGGCGAGACCTGGGACATGGGCAACCAGAATACGATTGCGGGGTGCGACCAGCAAGACATCGAGCGCAGTGTTCGCATTGCGTGAGTTTGCTGTGTACGCCAGCTTTGAGGACCTGTCTGTTGTGCAGATGCAACGCTTTTTCGGGCTAGAGCTCCTGCACAAGCCAGAGGATTCCAAGGATCTGCAAAATGAGTTCACGGGTCTCAGACCACAGCTCAGGGCCGGTCCACATCACGGACGGTCTGTGAGGTGGTGCCTGAGAGAGCAGTTCAGGAGGTGCTAAACCGAAGAGACGAGGTGACGAGGTACAAGGCGCCTTGAGTTTAAATTGACGAAGTTCTCTCTGTTCAACTTTGTTATTGGCATCCTAGCGGTCCTAGCGGTACCGCACATGTAGAAGGAAGTCGGACTGGCAACAGGGTTGGGATTCATGAGATGATGGAAGACCAAGAGGCGGAAAGTTGGAAGGTTCCACGACAAATGCATCCAGCCATGCACTTCTGAACCATGGAGATTTTTCAATGCATCCTACTGTTTTCTCCGCATTTCTCAGCACAGCACGCGCGGGCATTGTGCCGGTGTCGAAACTCCCTTGCAGTGATGAGTGCTGTCTCTGGTTTTGAGCAGGTCTCTGAAGCAGTGGCGGGTTTTGCCTTTGCCGCTGGAGCATTGGTTAGACCTGCTTCTCGACTCAAAGCCGAGTTGTCTTCTCTGGGTAATCTGCTCCATTTCAGGTTCTGGCTGAGGGTGAGAGCCGGCTATTAGCACATCCGCGTCTGGTTCTCGCATGCTTGTAGGCACAGGTGTTTCGCAGCCTTCCGCCCTTCCTTGCCAGTGTTGGTCTTCTTACCGCGACAAGTTGAACTCTCCACAGCTTCAGACGTTACGGAACGGTTGGTTGGAGTGGGGCTGGGACACCTGTCAGTTAGAGCCAGCATGCCCTCTGATGCTGCAAGACGGCGATGCTGGATCTTTTGTACAAAGGCTCGCCAAAGGTGCACGGCGGAAATCGTTTTAAACAAGTTGCAGTAAAATGTGTTTGTGTGAAGTGTCGAGGCTTGTTGGCATGAAGTGCATACTGAAGTTGACGGCTCTCCCTGGTCTTTTCTAGTCACAGGACAGTCTTATGGCCATGCCAAGGCCACAGCACGAGACATGCATCGGAGTGCAGTTGAGGAACCAGGACCCCGCAGCAGGCTCGTGACGATACCTGTCATAACCCATGAGCGGCAGCCAAAAGGCCTCAGCAGCCACGGGCCATAGATGGCCCGCAGCCATCACACCCGGAAGCCTCGTAGCCTACTTGTCATACACCGAAATTAGCTTGAGCCTGCAGCAATCGCGGAACCCATGGCTTTGGACTCCACTCGCGCCATCATCGCTCTGTGGCGCCTCTGTGTTCCCGCAGGCCTTGGGCCACAGGTGGGCCAACAGAATCTGCTAAGGAGCTTGATTCAGCAGAGCGTCCTCACGCAAGCTGTTGCAGAGGTCGGTGGTGATGGAGCTATCCCAGTAGACGTTCTCAAGGCAGGGCAGGTCTTTGGCATCGTAAGATCATGATCTGTAGCCACTGGATGCTGTTCCCCGGCCGACTTCCCAAGCCCGGATGCAAAAAACAAGGGCAGGTAAATTGAGGAAGCGTCGCGTGTCTCCTGTTCTTCCAGCACTGCAGGTGGTACTGGAGCGGGAGCTGCAGGGACACCTGGGTGACTTTGGTCATAGCTCCGTCGATGAGATCCTGCACTGGCCTTGTGGCTTCTGGCTTCGGCTTCGGACTTGAGTTGATCCAAGCAGAGCCGAGGCAAACCTACATGCAGCCAGACTCTGAGGGTGTTGTAGGTTTTCTCCAGTTCTGGAAGGGCATGGAGGACGGGGGAGTTTTTCTTGAAGCCGGCGGGCAGAAGCAGCTTTGCAGGAGATCCTCCGTGCTCGGGGAGCGCTGCGCAGCACTCTATCGCGGGCGCAGGACACTGCAGTGAAATTGCACTCAGACAGGCCGTGACAAGTTGTGTTGGATGTGTTGGACATGCTCATGCAAAGAGTGTGCATGTCCGGATGCCTTATGACATCGCCACGTGTTGCGAGGAGGAGGCAATAATCGGCTTTCGCTGGCAGACTCGGGGGGTTCTGCCGAAAGTGCGCTTTTTTGGGGCAGCTTTTTTGAGCTTCGGCCGAGGCTTCCTGCGCACCTGCCTCCTGGACATGGCCGCTCGCCAGGCCGCTGGGCCGGGGACGCTTTCGCACGAAGCCTATAGCAGCCTAGCAGCAACAAAACTTGCGTGGCAGCTGTCCAGCGCAAGCAGAGAATTTCTTCATCTTTGCATCCCACCATACTTGATTCAGAGTTGCAGACGTCGGTATGCAGCATGCGGTTGTCGAAGGCGTGGCAGGTATCATTTGGGTTAGGTAAGCCAGCAGTGAGAGTTTGCGGAAGCGAAGCGGCGCTATGAGAGCGCATCTGGAGCCGGCTCCTTCGTATAAGCTTCTTCATGTCAGGCTGAGGTTTTTGGGCGAGCAGATCGATCGTTCATCTCGCCTACCTAAGCCGGTTCACAAGGGCGAGGTGAGGGACGTGTGTTTCTCAGGCGGCCTCGCAGACCTGAACGAACTGGTGGAGAAGTGGCTCGGATGCCCAGGCGAGTGGAGAATGAACAACGTGGCGAATTGGCCACTGTCTGAGGAAGCCCTTCAGCGACCCACAAGTGCTGCTTGCCCGATGGTGGTGAATGTTGTGAATCGGACGGAAAAGGTCAAGAGGGATGTCGACTCCTTGCAGGATCGGCTCAAAGACCTTGAGGACAAAGTGAACTCGCTGGTTCAACAAAAGACTGCAGACCAGCAGCAGCTTTCTGGGCGCCTGGATAAGCTTACAATGATTGAGGAGTATTGGGACCTGATGACCGCAGACACCGATTCTGCAGAACGTGTGCCACAGGTCCGATCTGGCCGGAGCCGTCGATGCTGGGCCTTGGTGGTTCAACCCTCTCCGGTGTTCTTCCCAGTGCTTCTTTTTGCTTTTACCACAGGTTTATGGTGGATGAGCCGGACTGAGGTACAGTTTCTGGAGCACGACGTCAAGAGTTCAGAAGGTCAGTACATCTCCCTGGAACGTAAATCCAAGCACATCGTCAGCAGTGTCAACTCACAGCAGAGGAAAGAACACGAATATCTTGTTAATCACCTGGAGATGACGACTCGGGATATTGACCGACTGCACACCAATATCTCCAACCTGTCAACTTGGCTTGGCTACATGACAGAACTTCAGGCCAATGTGTCCAACATGTCTACGTGGCTTGTCCTGGCCGAGGCCAGGGACGCCAGCCTGCGCAAAGATCAGCACAAGTTATCTGGCAAGATGAATCTCATCAGTGACCAGATCACGCACGTTGAGGAAGACGAGGGGAAACTGTCCTCCAAACTTCGAGACCGGCTTCACGAGCTGGAAGAAGACGTGAAAGCTGTGAAGAAACAGGTGTCGTCCCTGCAGCTTGCAGGCGAAGCAGCGCGGAATCAGTCGGAGAAGATGCAGGAGGAAATGACTAGATTGGACTCGACGTTGAAGCCGGAACAGTTGCGTGTGAACCGCACGGTGCAGCAACTGCAGAAGCTGGAGAAGGAGAGTGCGGAGGCGAATCGGTCATGGACACTTCTTTCTGATCAAGTTTCGGAAGTGCAGGACCACATGCTGCCTGATTTACGCACAGCAGTTGCGAAGCAAGCCTCGACCATTGCCAGATTCAAATCGAACATGTCGAGTTGGCATCACGTGGAGGAGAAGTACAGCCAGAAGGGCGTGGATGCCGAACGAAAGGTCAACATGGTCGAGAAAGAAGTGCAGAAATCGCTCCAGAAGACGACCGTGCGGCTGCAGCAGCTGGCATCTTTGCAAAGGCTGGAAAAACAGCTAAGGCAGCATCAAGTACACTTCTCTGAGCGCTTAGAGTCCATCGAGGCGAAGCTGCATAAGCTCATGAATGCGACTGAAGCCTGAGCCTCTCAGGGCCTTGTCCGTGAAGGACGCGCGCTCGCCTAAAACACTTTGGTGCGATCCTGTGCCTGAACCAATCCATCCCTTGAACGGTCCAGGGCAACCAATAACCCGACCATGTTCGAACCTCTTCTGGGCTCTACGGTCTGCAGCCTTTCTCGCAGCATGGGCTGGTGTCGGCATGTGGGCGAGATCAGGCCCTTTCCTCTGCTGCTCCAGGTGTCACAGGGCAGGTCCTCCTTCAGCGTGAAGGAGTTAAGGCCCGGCAAGGGGCTAAAAAGTGTGCTTCTCGTGAGGTCGACACGCCTTTCCCCCGCCCCAGGTACTTCATTGGCCGAACTACAGCCCTGACAGGGGCGGAGGGTGAGGCGTTCTGGCGCCTGGCCCTCGGAATACTTTCCTCCAGCTATGTCCTCGACTGGTTTACTCTTCCAGCAGCCAGATGTTGATGAATTGTCAGCTTCGGCGACATGTCGGCCCTCCGGGTTGTCATAAAGAAGATGACCAGCAAATCAGACTGAAACTTCACTTTGTCGGCAGTGGAAGTTGAGAAGGGCTCCGTGGCAAAGCTAAATGCTCACTGGAAAAGATCAATGGAAGGCCGTGGTTTCCTCCTGTCAGGAGGCCACGCAAAAATCAGCCCCTGCAGGATGAAGCTTTTCCCCAAAAGTTCCCTTCACGCTGCTTCCAAGGCAAGCAGGCCCGGCAGCTTCCTGAGGACCGCTCGGGCACTTGGAGGCGGCACAGCGGCGAAGAGCTCTCGACCTGTAGGACCCAGAGATGCTCGTAACCGGCGAGGAAGTGGCCTCCGCAATGCCCTGTCCCTATCTGTGTGCATCGTGCTCGCACCTGTGAGAGCAGGTGTTGCTTGCCACGTTTGCAAGGTAATCGGCAGTGTTTCGATTGCGCCCATGAAAGCTGAGGCTCACGTGGCTGGAGCAGCTTGTCGATGAAGGCGCTGTGGCCGATGACCGGTCAATCAAGGGGTTATGGAAGAGGGTATCAAAAAAATAGTTGAGAGTTGCCAGGCATCATGCAACATGTCCAAAAACCGACCTTCAGGCCTCGGTGAAGAAGACGAGGACACGAGATCCACACATGTCTGGGCACATACTGTGGCATGTAGTTTCATACCACCGCCTGACGCTTTACCAATCATCTGCAGAGGACACAGGCGATGACGAGGAAGAGGCGAGTGTCATCATAACTCCAAGGTGACTGGCTTGGTTTGCGTCGGAGCAGCACCCTGTAGTGCTGGGCAGGTGGGCTTCGAACAGGTCGCATCAAGCCAAGCTTGAGACGATTGCACCTTCCTCCCATGTCATCACTGGTACGGAACCTCTTTGCTGCTATCGGCATTGCTGCGGCATGACCTCAGATATTTCAGGAATGACTCCGTGCTGTGAACGTGGGCTGAGGCACTTCCCCCTCCCCCAAGCTCATCGCCAGCATCGTCGAGATTCGAAGTCAGTGTCGCAGAGTGTCAGTACTGATGAAAACGGGACCATGTGGATGACGAAGGACCATTCAAAATATGTTCTAAGGCCAGGGCTGTGTCGGATCGGTGCTGCTCCCGGCTGCAGTTTCACGCTGTACTGCGTGGGTGGGTCTTGAGGACCATGTTTGCCTTTGAGGATTGTGGGTTCCGCCTTCCTGCTTCAGCTTTTTTAAGGCTCCAGATTCGCTGACTGACTCGTCGCCAGAGTACGTCTCAGAAAGGGTGCGTCAGAAATGAGCTGCACTGCAACCACAAACCACATGGAGGATACGCACCATTGTGCTGGCTGTATTAGGCTATTGTGTATTGGAGGCTGTCTCTTCTGGCAAACAGTGGCTTGGACTTTGAAGTCGTTTTTTCACCAGAGAGCCATGTTCGATGGAGGATCCGGCGCCAAGGCGGGTCAAGGAGGTGAAGGTGTCGGCCGGAGAGAGTGCGTTTTTATTGGATGCTGACAGGTCAGCCTTGCCGGGCGGGGCGGCCGACGCAGCTTGGAAGCCACAAGCTGTTCGAGCTGGTTGAAATTTACGTCTTGGCTGGCTTGAAGAGAGCTTGAGGGATCCATTGGCATATTTGAGTGCCTTCCAGTGCGTTAGGCCCAATTCCAATTCTTCAAATCGGGCACCTGGCCTTTGGGGGTGGCGTTTTTTTTTGCTTATGTTTTTTCAGTTGTCTTTTTTTGTATTTTTTTCGGCCGCGCTGCAAGCAAGCAAGCAAGCAAGCA